ATTGAGGGAACTGCAACCACTGTCACCAAGGAATATGTGTATAAATTTTTGAATGAGAAACTAACTTAAACTGTAAACTTTCACCTAACGCACAATAAATTTTTTTAAAAAATTAGATGATTTTATATTTGGAAGAGCCTTTACAACTAAAATGGGATTGGATAGATCACCGAGAAAATTAAAGTTTGTAGGTGTCTATATAGGCTATTTACTTGCACTGGATGGTATGCTAAAATTTGCTGAAGAGTAGAATTTGGTGTAGCAGGTTTGTCTTGGACTTTAGCCAGCCACTTAGTTACTGATCTTACAATTAGGTGCTCTCACTTTCTAGACAGCCTCACAGTGCAAGCCAGGAGATATGAAAACTGCATTCCTTAAGTCTATATAACACAGTCTTAACCAGTAATAACAATAGTAAGCACAATTTGGTACAATGACAAGAGCTTTTCTAGTCTTAGATTTACTACTAACTAAGAAAGTCAGTTAACTTCCTTGTGCCCCATATTTCCAGTCTGTGTAGGAGGAAACTCATTTGCTTGACCAATATTCTTTGAGTGCCTATGATGTTCCAGGCGTGGTTATAAGTGCTATATAGAGTGCTGAACTCTATAGCCAGCGTCTCCACTTACATTCTCCTAACAGGTAACAGAGCCAGACAAATCACTAAGGAGGCAAATAAATCAACAAGATTTCAGAAAGTGATATGTAGAAAATAACACAGGGTGATATGAGAGAATATACAACAAGAAAATGAGTTCGAGGCTCTTACCATGTCGATGCAAAAGATGATGGTAACTCTTGAAAGAGAATTGGATAGATCCAGAATGGCAAGAAACAAGACTTACTGATGGATTGAATATAGGGTGGTGAAGGTGACAAGGAATCAAGGAGGAATCCTAGGATTTTCTTTTCAACCCCTGTGTGAATGAGGTTGGCATCTACTGAGTTGGAGGAAAAATGGTGAAGAACATGTTTAAAGTGGGAGGAGGTAAATCGAGAGTTCTGTTAGACTCTAGGTATGATCAGATAGGCCATTTTGAGAGGTGAGAGATGATGAGAGATAAATTATATCCAAGTCAATGAGTGACCAAGGTAGTATACATACGGTGGTCAAGAGAACTGAAGACCGGTAGAAACTACATGAGTCCACTAGGTAAAATTCATGAATTTGGTTGCTTAACTCACTAAATATTAAGATGGAAAATTAGGACAAAGAAGAAGCATGTTGATCTAGAACCAAAATCATTGGAGACCTAATAATAGTACCCTGGAGACTTGTATATCACTTGCAGAAGATGGCATGTACCTCTGCAAGAAAGGGAGCAAAGCAAAAATGATGGAGACCTCGGCACTCTGCCACTGGCAAGACATCTTGTTGCCTCTTCATTCTCGAAGAATAAATGAGTTAGGAGATTTCAGGGATATGCTGGGTGGGTTTAGTGTGAAACCTGCCATTTTATTTTGTGAGGGCTGGACTTATCACCTCAAAAGTGTGAAAATAGGTGTGAAAAACTCTCCCCGCCCCTCACCCCCATTTTTGTAATAAATGAATTCTTCTTTAAAACCATCTACTCAGAATAAATGGTTCTAAATATACCATAGTCCTTATTTCCCATGCCTATTTCTCACCTTCTTCAGTAGAATAGTCTAAAACACCTGGGATCAGGAATGTAGTGCCTTGATAACTTCAGGGAGACACAGGGTTAATTGTTATAGAACGCACTTTGATTTCACGTTACCACGAGTTATTACTATACATGAAAACACAAATTTGCCAGCATCTGTTTCATAAGATGCCCCTGAAATTTTGTTAGGCAAAGTGCAGCGTGAGAACTATACCTGCCCCCTAAAAATGAACTACATGGCTGGAGTCATCCCCAGGGGCATGGGACAAGTGACCACCTGTTACTGTTCCTAGTCACAACCAGAACCAAATACAACCAGGGATCTCTCAAGGTGATGCAAGTGAAAGCATTTTGTAAATTGTAGTGTAATATACAAATATAAGATGTGATGGTTGTGTTCTTATTCAGTCATGAAGAAATGGATGTTGGTTATAAGTGGGTGGAATGGCTATAACTTTTCCATTCCTGGAGGCTGCATCGCAAATATACCGTCACAACCAAAGCTAGTTTTGTCCAATCTAAGCAATTACTATTGCTGAGGAGAATGGTGATTTGACTTGTGGAACATCAGTTTGACCATAAGAGTCTCATTTAAGCACTAGATATTTGACATTCAATAGCAGTGAAAAGGTAAAGGGTGGCTTTTCACACCTTTTTTTATATTTGGTAAGTGATAGGTCCCGCCCTAGTAGAGTTCTAATTTATTTTAAATAACAGATTTTACTTAAAAAAAAAAACTCACCTAAACCCTTATCTCATGTATTTTCTACTAAATTTTAACCTTTTTCTTAAAAGTACAGAGGCAGAAACAGTCACTAAAATTGTCCCACGGCATACTTTTTTTGTCATGCTTTTAACTCATAAACTTGTTTTATAACTTTCTTTCCTACCCACCAAAAATTCTGGCTTCACCAATTTTTTTGTTTTTCTCTCCTACTTATATCATCCATTCTCTGGGTCTAGTTCTTCTAAATTTCCACTATGACAGAAAATATTATTATTCAGTCCTTTAAAACTTTCATCCTCAATCACGTTTTAAAATTTTTCTCTTCTCTTCCTACTTCTGTGAGTAAAGCATGTGAAAAATAGAGCCACCACAACATATTTACAAAGTGAAAACAATTATTTGGCAAATTTGACTTTGCTTTATCTAATCCACTGAGTATTTCTAAATGCATGTCCTCCTTTATGAGTTGTCACTATCACATTCTTTTTTTTTTTATATGAGCTTTTGTATGATAAGGACTCTGTCTCCATCGAGCCTTTAGCGCTGTCATTCAATTATCAAGGAGGCTACTGTGCTGATGTCCCAGCCATTGACTCCAACATAGGGAACCTTCTTTATATATGACTGTTCATGTGGCATTAAGGCACTCGGTTACTAACTGAAAGGCTGGAAGCTTGAGTCCACCCAGAAGCACCTCAGAAGAGAGGCCTGGTGATGTACTTCCGAATATCAACCATTAAAAACCCTATAGAGCACAGTTCTACTCTGATACACATGAGGCCACCATGAGTTGGAGTTGACTCTACGGCAACTGGTTGGTTGATTGTATTCATGTGCACTTTCAAGTCTCAATTGATAAGTAAAACCAGTTACATTGTCATAAGGCTAATGTATACCATCCTGCCTCCATATCTGCATCACTAATTTAACAGAAGTATTAATGTTAAATTTATTCTGAATTTTCTTACTAAACAATTATTTTATCCTTGACAAAAACACTTACTGTAGATTATTAGTAAATTCTTCCTCTTCTACTCTTAGAAATTGTTTTAAGAGACAATAACCACCGGGGGAAAATAACCAATCCATTCCCATTCCAAGCACATGCAAGTTGTAGACATCTTTTCTAACTCACAACCTCTGAAAGTTAAATCTACACCAACAGAAATCAGAATGCTATGATGATAACATCCAGATTATCAATGCTTCCTAAATTCACTGTCTTCAGGGTAAGAATCAAGATAATAATTCCAATACTAAACAGACAATAGATAAGTGGTATCTTTGGTGAAGGGTGAGACAGTACATATTACCAGGGAAGCCAGAACAACTTCTACAAGGCAAGGTCATGGAACCTCCATAGACACATCCAAACTCCCTGAGGGACCAAATTGGTGGGTGGAGGGTTGTGAGGACCGCGGTCTCAGGGAACATCTAGCTCAACTGGCATAACATAGTTTATAAAGAAAATGCTCTACATTCTACCTTGGTGAGTAGCGTCTGGGGTCTTAAAAGCCTGTGAGCAGCCATCTAAGATACTCCACTGGTCTCATCTCTTCGGGAGCAAGGGAGAATGAAGAAAACAAGATCCAAGGGAAAGATTAGTCCAAAGCACTAATGGACCACAACTACCACGGCCTCTACCAGATGGAGTCCAGTACAGCTAGATGGTGCGAGGCTACCACCACTGACTGCTCTGATAGGCATCCCACAACAGGGATCTGGACAGAGCCAGAGAAACATATAGAACAAAATTCTAACTCACAAAAAAAGACCAGACTTACTGGCCTGACAGAGACTGGAGAAACCCCGGAAGTACGGCTCCCGGATACCCTTTTAGCTCAGTAATGAAGTCACTCCTGAGATTCACCCCTCAGCCAAAGATTAGACAGCCCCATAAAACAAAACGAGACTTATGGGACACAACAGCCAAGGGACAAGGACTAGAAGACAGGAGCAGACAGGAAAGCTGGTAAAAGGGAATCCAAGGTCGAGAAGGGAGAGCTTTGACATGTCGTGGGGTTGTTAACCAATGTCATAAAACAATATGTGTACTAACTGTTTAATGAGAAACTATTTCTTCTGTAAACCTTCATCTAAAGTACAATTTAAAAAAAATTTTTTTTTAAAGATAATAATTCCAATCAACAGATGATCTGGTCATCAAATCCAAAACCTGTTCAAAATAAAAGGTCAAAAAACAAGATTAAAAGACAACTTAGAAATTCTGTAGCTTTATTTATTTCAGAAGTGCCATTCAAGCTATAAAGGATTTCCTGTTGTTTTTGTTTTAAAATAATTTTATAATATTCTTTTGTTCTCGGGTTACGCTATATCCAAATAATCATGTATGTAAATTACTCAATACAACAGTGGATGCCACTGATAATGTAAACATTATTGTTTACCCAGAAGCATTATATGTTCACGCAAAAAGGGCATTAAAAACTTGTGGTCAGATCAAAAAACCACAATTGTAATTGTTTATTTACACAGCTAACCATTACTCTGTAGTGTAAGTTTACATTTTTAAAAATTTCTAAACAATGCCAAATTCTTCCTACAGAGTGAAAAACGCATCTTTCGCCTAAATGATTAAAAACAAACAACTTAAGGGCTACACATGACTGTATATGAAAATTACTTACTTTGCCCAGGCTTATAGTTTTCATTTTTATGTTGCCCTTGAAACTCCACGATAACAGGGCCATTCAGTGAAAATTCTGCATTTTTCTCTCTAGTTCAGGGCAGCTGGTTTCTTTCCTCCCTAAGCAGAAAGCTAAAGTATATTTATCACTCTCACAGTGACTCAAAACAAACAGGAAGTCTTCATCAGCCGGCTCCTGGGCATAGCTGATATTAGGTAGTGGCAGAAAGGAAACAGAGACCTCATTCTGTGGGAGTCCGACAGAATGTACACGCAGATGCAAGCGATAACAAAGTTAGGGATGCTCCAAATGACCACCATGGTATCCCAAGATTAAGTGCTCATGCAATGCGCGCCAGTTTTCAGAGTCTGCGAAAATTCCTCAAGAGTTTTCCTTTCCATTTCAGTTTGAAAGAGAAGTCTGAACTGGACACCACGAGCCTTAGAATCCTTATGAACCTGTGCGCCAAAGGAAACCTGGGAGGGAGCTATTCTGGGAGATTTGGCTTTGATCTGGTTGCTAGGAAAAAGCCCTGCTTTTGTCTGTAAGTCTTCTGAATGGCTCCTTCAGTCGGAATGAGGCCTGCAGGTCACTGTCTGAATTAAGTGAAGAGGGTTTTTTTTTCTTTTTTTTAAACGTTAAAAATGAAGTTGTCGCTGTATGCTATAATAGAGCAGGAGAGAGCGCACTATGTTGCTGAGCGATGGCAAAGGTTCTTTGCTACAACTTAAACTCCAAGGTATACCGTGAAAGCCACTGAAGCATGCTTGCAGATCAAATATATGTAAATATTCCTCCGTGGCACATATGTTACTAGAGACCTTCGCCTTCACCTTCTTTTTCAAATAAAACCTGTTTCAGATTCAAAGCCCACTTTGTTTTTATTAATACAAATGTTCATTGTCAAACAAATTTTTTCACGTTATAAATACATAGAGAAAGATCAAACACTCATACCTAACTTTTTTCAGCCAAGGCCAACTCAGGATGGATTAGACTGTAAACTACTAATACTGATTCAAAACTATTAAGCAATACCCACTTTGGGGGGTCCTTTAAATATTTTCTTTTTTATTTGTTGACTAACTAATCTCCTTGTTTATGATAATGCTTGTACCTTTGTATGAGGACTTTACAGCCATTATCTAATCTTCACAGATTCTGGTGGGGTAGAAAGGGAGCAAATGTTATCTCCATACTACAGATGAGGAAGCAGAGACCCAGGGAGGTTGAGTAACAAGCACGCATTTGAAATGGCACATTCTGCCCAGAAGCAAAAATGACAGTAGGAAATGGGCTTTGTTGTTCCAGGAGTAGGGCTGGATTTTCATCTATTCACCCATACATTCCCCAGTCTTCATGACCAGCATTTCTACAGTGATTGCACTGACTCTCCATACAATCTGCTGGGAAAACATGCAGCAAACTGGCCCAAGTGAGAAACAAATCCTCAACCCTTGTGCCATTGGCATTGGGTACCAGTGACCTGAGCCACAGACTGAAAGACAAGTAAAGAAACAAAAACAAAAACCCACACCCTTTGCTGTCAAGTTGATTCTAACTCATAGCGACCCTATAGGACAGAGTAGAACTGCCCCATAGGGTTTCCAAGGAGTAGCTGGTAGATTTGAACTCCTAACCTTTTGGTTAGCAGCCAGGCTGTTAACTACTGTGCCACCAGGGCTCTGAAAGCCAAGTAGCCCAAAGCAAAACGGGATTGATCAAAAAAGTTCAATTGAACCTCTTCAGAATCATTCTAGAATAGGAGAGAAGGAATTATTTTTCACTAATTTAGTTTTGTTCTCTCTCACGTTTGAAACATATTTGATACTCGAAACAAATCTAACAATAGGAAATATAAATCCAAAAATAAGAGAGAGCTGAGAGGTAAGTGACAGGAATGAAAACTGAACCACGGTAAGAAAAAAAAAAAATGAATGAGGGAAAATTGTACAGAGACTGGAACCTTCAGGATCACAGCATCATTTTTTTGATCTGAAGCTATTGTTCACTGTGTCTTTGTACTTTAAGATCCAGATAGTTTAAAAAAAAAAAAAAAAAGGAAAGGTTAACAATGAATTGGAGAGTCAATGAAAGCTACTCTTTCCAAATAACACTAGATATCCTCTTTTAAAGGAAGTAGGGCTCCTTATTCCTCAGAAAACGTTATAAAGAAAATAGTCAAGACTACTGGAGTGTTAGATACTACCTGTATTAACCAGGTCATAGGGGATTATCTCCCCAAAACAGGTTGGGGAAACTTCTATTAATCAGAGCACCTTCCAGAGGTTTCAGAAGCAGGAAGGCAGCCTACCCTATCTTTTGGAATGCAAATTACTCTGCAGACCACCAGGCAAAAACTTCACACAGCCCAAACCAGACAACCCTGCCAAAAGGCGCTCACCTTAGAAAACAGAAGTGTTTTCAGGGTAGCATATCCTCTTTCAATCTACCTGTTTACTTACCTAAATTTCTTTTCAAATTGCATATACAGTTGCAGATCTACAAAAATTCCTTAGTCCATCTTAGAGAGCCACAAAGCTGACCTAGGCTTTACGATCAAATTATGGAGCCGAAATTCTTTCAGTTCAGGACTACTAGTGTATTGGGGCAACTCTTAATGTGGACAGGGACCAAATTGTTCTCCTGGTTCCATGAAATGGCAACAGGCTAGCAGTACCAATTAGCCAGACTACACAATGCCTCTTCAGGCACTGACTAAGACCAACAATGAAGACCCCCTACTGAGCAGGACCCAAACCCTGGGGCTTGCACTACCCTTGCTTATTCACCACTGCCTTGGACAAATGTCCCAGCAACCCCGGAGAACTTGGCATTAATTTCTCAGTGTGTCTCCATGGCTAGAGGGAAGCAAGAGCCAAAAATGAATTAGGTAAATATAGTAAGCCTCAGGCACAAATTCAGCAGGTGAATTTATTTGCAAATTACTCTTTTTATCCGTCTCATTCAAGATTCTCTTTAGAGACACAGAAGAGAACCTTACCATTCTTAAACTAAAGCCATATTTGATTTTAATATTTTGTTCATAGCCAACCATATAAAAAATACTTAATAAAAGAATCCTTTTTGAAGTTGTTATGCATTTATTACAGGATTATTGATTTCAATGACAAGAATTTTATTGTTAAGACTGGATTGAGTTAAGACTTTTTTCTTTTTTCTGGAGATTTCTCTATCATTTAATTTAGTCACCTTATTCCTTCTGCCCCAATACACAACTGTTCCTGTTATTCTTTGAATTAATTTGGATAAAAGCCTTATGCAAAAGCCATCTTTCTGAATCCACAACCTTCTCTCTGAGAATTCGTTAACACATTACATTATACTAAAGTGAATCCACCCACTAGAAATTAGACAATCTATCCTGGTTTTAATATTTTTTGAAGGCTTACAAAGTACTAATCACTAGAGCAGTGATTCTCAGCCCTGGTTTTGTGATAGCCTAGGGTATCTCCAATTACTTCATAGTTCTTGGGGAAAAAAAAAATTCTGAAAATTTTTCAGAAAAAAAAATCATTTTCATTTATTTTAATTTGAAATATAAATATCTGCCATTGGAGGTAGAAAATGTGTCACGGTGGGACTTGGTGTGCTGGCGTGTTGTAAAAAAAAAACAAGCCACAATAGCCTATTGAAACTCCACAAAGCTCAAAATCATTATGCTTTCCCCCCGAAAAAGAAATGCTATTCTTCTCCCTAGGAACTTAAATGTTAACACATACCTTATGACAGGCACAAAAAAGGAACTGGGACAAAACCCCTTCCAGGACATTTCCTCAGAAAGAATACAAATAAGGTGTGTCACACATTTTCATGAATAAAATAAACATGATAATATCTAATAACACTATTATACTATTATATGTGCCTAAATTACAGTTGTACTAAGAAATGAGAAAATCTCTGGAATAGGACCAGGATTGCTTTTTAATTGTCCATTAGAAAAAGCAAAGAATACAATCGCCTGCAATGATTTCCTTTAGAGATCATTCACCTTATTTTTAAAATATAAAATCAAAAACATATTGAGACGCATGGTGAAGCTGGGCAATAAAACTGAAGCAAACTGTCTCCTTCCCTCAGCTCAGGATCAGCAGCTACAGCAAGCCCACAGTGCCAGCTTGAGACTGGCAAAGCAACTAGCATTGCACAAAACAAAAATCTTAATTTCTGAGTGCTGACTGAATCCACTGAGAACATCTCTCTCACCTCACCTTTTCTCTTTCTTTCTGTCTTTCTATTTAGGGATATTCTTCCATTATGTGAGATGCCCCCAAAGCCAATGAAAAACAAAGACAATTTTATTTTCACATTAGTATTCCTCTCCCAGGGCCATATTCCATGAATGAATGGTTTGTAGGACACACCGTTAATAATAAAATCCACCAACTGTGCCAACACAAGTGTGAGAAAAGCACAGGGAAGCTAAGGGTGGCCAAAGGAATTCTCCCATACCTACAGTGACGGACTCCTTCCAAGAAAGCTGTTGATTCTGCTTGCTTATTTACTTGCTTATTTGCCAGAAAGGTATTCCTTTAGAAAGTAAAAATAAATAGCTCTTACACCCGCTTCCTTCTCTTGAAATCACTATTTCTACTAGAAAATAAACTCATAAACTCCATCGGTGAAGATACTTGAGAACTATACTGGATACAACATACCAAAATTCACTGAAGGAGCAATCCTGTACTGGCTGAGAAAGGAACTGGGAACAAGGAGGTCATTTCCCATTCAAATTTAAATGTCACCATGAAATACTGTTGAAAAATCAACCACATCAAGAGTGAGCGCACATGTCACAAACTCATCTCATCTGACCTCCCCAACACTTGTACCGGAGTGTTATTGTCACTGAATTGTCTGGATTCCACAGAGCATTCTGGCTGAGCTTTCACCCAACCTGTGGATTAACGAAGACTGTTCCTTTCTTTTAAATTTCAGGCTTGTTTTCCCACTGCAGCACAAAATGTTTTTAGTATGCCCATCCCACCATGGTGCAGGACCAGGCAGTGTTTGGTTCTGTTGTACATAAGGTCGCTATGAGTCAGAACCAACTCAACAGCACCTAACAACAACAACATCCCACCATCAAGGAGCCCTGGTGGCACAGTGGTTAAGTGCACAGCTGCTAACCAAAGGGTTGGTGGTCCGAACCCACTAGCAGCTCCACGGGAGAAAGATGTGGCAGTCTGCTTCTGGAAAGATTACAGCCTTGGAAACTCTATGGGGCAGTTCTACTCTGTCCTATAGGGTCGCTAGGAGTCA